CTGGGAACGAGATTAAGACCAGTGCTGTGTAATCAAAGAAGAATACCAGGATTGCAAACAGTATGTAAACAGCAGTTGAGAAAGGATCCCTGATCTGTGTCAGACACACAGATATGACACAATATCTGAGAATACAAAAGATACGTCATCGTGACAGAATAGGAGAATTGGTTGGGCTGGACTGGACTAGAACTGCCCTAATCCCTAATCAGCTTGGGGTGGCTAGTGATAATGGAGGCTGTTGTCCAATAGAACAGGAGAGGTAAAAGATATATCAAATGAGGAAGTAAACTGAAAAAGGCAAAGTGCATGTATTGCACTAAATTATTTACTGAATAAAACCTAACTTCCTGTATTCATGTAACATGCTGTAGTCAGTTTTATTATGAAGTTGCTAAAACATGCAAACAATAGACCTTATAGGATCCAACAGTGGGGCTTCCAGCCTTGTTTAGGGCTGATCCAAATATATTTTCTGCTCTCGGTTATTTATTTATTCCCAGTTAACCTCCATTCAAAATACTAATTCTATGAGCAGCATAAGCCAGAGCCAATATGGATAACCCTGACCATTTTTAATTCCAATAAATGTATTGCATAATTAGGCTCCACCATCAGTGATATTAATTAAATACTATTTCCATATTCTTTGGTGTCATCATTTTCTTTGGTACCATCTTTAATGTAACAGCACAGCAAGCTCAATTCTTCCCGTTCTTTATCCTGCAAACAACCCTCATTTGTTGCTATTGTTTTGTCCAGAGTTTCTCAACCTTGGCAATTTTAAGATGTGTGGACTTCAACTCCCAGAATTCCCCAGCCAACTTCTGGGAGTTGAAGTCCACACATCTTAAAGTTTTTATTTATTTATTTATTTATTTATTTATTTATTAAATTTCTCACCCGCCCATTTCCCCCCAATGGGGGAACTCTGGGCGACTCACAACAAACATTAAAAACATAGATATATACAAATACATAAAACATCAGTTAAAAGCATTACT